CAATCTTGCAGCCCGTGTACACAGCGGGGCCTACCATGTCATCTGTTCCACTCAGTTTGGTGTCTCCAACCTCTCGTAGAGCTGTATACCACTCTGGATGATGTTCTTTGACTTGGTAGCGAAACTGCTGGCCATGGGTTGCTTAGAGGCGGACTTTGGCGGCACGAATGACATTGGTTCCTACAAGCAGAGGGACTGAGGAGCGATTTTCAGAATCTGGAACAACAAAAGCTGGCACAGTCTTGTAATTTTCTCCCAGTGCCTTCAGTTCAATGCACAGAACACCGTAGTAGGGCACATTCTGGCCTCCAGTGCCCTCCATAGGTACTTTCGAAGACTGTACGCTCTGCTCTCGAAGGATTGGGTGGTTTCGACAGTAGCTGTGTGTAATACTGGTTACCTGTGACCCAGAATCAATGAAAGCCCTACACTTTATTCCACTGACTTCCACCTCCCCCTTGTTCCTGGGATCTACTAAGGGGGGGCCCTGTCCTCCGTTGCTGATCTCTTCTTCCTGCTGTAGGGGACCTTGCTGCTTGCCCATGGTTGCCCCAGTTACCATGGGCTCTACACGTTTAAAGGCTGAGGTGACTGAGGTGTGCCCCCCTCAGCAGGGGTCAGTGGTTGTGGCTGCTGAGCCCAGGATGGGTTGGGATTGGAAAAAACTGCTCTGCAGACACGAGCTATATGTCCTTGCTTCCCACACCGATAGCCTGTGACACTGGCACTGGTAACGGGATTCACTGGAGACAGCTGGGGTTTTTGTGGGAGCATGTGGGATGGCACAGCGATCCTTGCTTCAAGACTAGACAGCTTGGCCATATGTTCTATTTGGTTTAAGGCTAACTTCTGAACCATCTCTGTCAGCTTTGATACCTCTGAGGCATTTTTTGCTCTTTCTGCCTTCACATGCGCACCACATTCAGATGCAACATGCACTTGTCCATATGTTTTCTTTGACTTGTGTTGTGACTGAAACCTCTTAGTCTCTCTTGCAAGATTTCGTAATTCAACTTGCAGCTCACTGAAACTTAAGAGCCTGGGCTTCATTGGTGTGAACCTTGCATACACCTCCTCATCAGTGAGCCCTCTCAGAAACTGCTGCGTGAGTTTACTGTCACAATCAGGAAAAAGCCTGCCCCCTCTCTGACTATCTTCCACAGCTCGCAGTGTAGACTCCAGTGCAATAGCGTAAGAGCAGGCAGACTCTCCAGGCCGCTGCCTGCGCTCATAGAAGTCAGCTAGGGGATCCAAGGAGCCCTGTGTGTCACCATATTCGGCTCTCAGTTCCTCAAATGCTTTCTCCGGGGTTTGTTCATAGGGGGGCAGATTAAGAACCAATTTTCTAGCCTCTTCACTCAAGTGTCGCAAAACAGTAGAAAAGTGGAAGTGTGTGGGCAGTTCTATTGCATCCAGGAGATACTGCATATCATGTATCCAGTCATCCACAAGCATCTTGCTGTCTGCATTACCTGTAAACACTTGGATATTCTTGACCTAATGAGTCTGCATGAACCCACCATAAGTTGTCTGTAGGGTCCCTGGGCTGGCTGTGGTTATGGCAGGAGTCCTTAGAGGTGGATAAGATGGGTATGGGGTGCACTGGAGGGTTTGAGGGGTTCACTACTTGAGTCTGTAGCTGCATTGAGGTGGGGGCTGGGGGTGGAGCTGTGTGGCTGAAAGCCACATTTTCCACCTGCTGAGGCCTGGGCATTGTTGTGCTGGGGTCCCATGCATTAGTGGCAGATGGGAGTACAGGGTCTGTGGGGCCTTGAGAGAAGTGAACAGCGGCTGAGGATGTACGCACCTGGGTGACAGGTCCAGCTGGCGGGACGGTACTCATGGTGTTCAGTGCTTGTGGGGTTTGATAGCTTAGCAGGGGAGCCTGGGGCAAAGGAGTAGACTGTGAGTAGCCAGTGCAACTTTGGGAGGAAGGCTTAACAGGCTCAGCAGAGTAATAAGAAGTGGTTGGATGTGTCATGGGGGACTGTGGCATAACTTGGATCTCTGGTGGGATGGGGTGTGGAGGGCCTTGAGGGGGCAAAGGGGCTGGGGGCCCAGGGGGGTAAGCTCGTGGTGGGAAGGCAGGGCCTGTCAATGTTTGCATCATGGGTTGGGGCACAGGACTGTCCACTGGCAACATGACACTTGGCAAGCTGTACTCTGACCTGTTTGTCTGGCATCCCTGTTCCATGACGGGTGTGGCACCAAAACTGGGCAGGGAGGCCTGTATTGAAGCTCCATAGCCTAGAAAGGTGGCCCCTTTGGCTTCGGTAATGCAACAGGGTGACAGCACTGAGGGAGGTGGGGTGAGTTGTGGGCCTAGTTCAGGCACTGAGGGAGACACATGGATCTGGGGGGCATAGACCTGGTGCTGCAGGTGAGAGCTGGACAACCTGGTGATGTGTTTGGAATGCTTAGGTCTCACTGCTTGCTGTGGGCTCACTGTGGCAGGGTTCACCACAGCCCCATCACTTGAAAGGGGGGTTTGAGTCCAGTCAGGGTCATGGTGGTGGCTTGTTGCAGGACCATGGGGAGGCTGGATGCTTGATGGTGCTGGGGATGGTGTTTCCGGCCCTAACAGGGAGTCTGTGTAATCATTCAACATGCTTGTGTGCTCCTCAGTAAACTACAAAAAATAGCTTGTGTTAAGACATGTATGCTACACGGTAAGTTCAGTACGGTAATGTTGTATGTCAGACTGTGTGTATGTTAAGTTTTTATATCTTGAATGGTATAGTGTAATGAAGTATGTGCAAAGCCACTATCAAACAGGAAATTACAACAAACATGAAACAGTCACTTATTGCTTAATCACAACTGTTTAACCTCAAGAATAGTTTTAGCCACTGGCAATACACACTTGAATATTGTTACCAAAGGCAATCCAAACACAGAATCAAAAATCACACACCATATATGGCTTAATGCAGTTCAACAAACACTTCAGTTTTAGTTGTCCAAGACTGTCCAAAACTCCAATGTCCGATGCTATACTTTCGAAGGATATGCTGTTGAAGGTTGATGCTCTTTCACTACACAGTCACTAGAAGCAGAAATGCAGCAGGAAACCAACAGTCCACGACGACGAGTTGGCTTCTCCAAACACAGGCTTGCTTCCCCAAACACAAGCTAGCTTCTCCAAACACAGATCAAAAGATGTGCGCAGGGCTGAAGCCGGGCAGAAGCTGGGCACACAGTTCACTCACGGAGGATAATGTAGACCAGTTTCCACCGTTGTCCAGGCTGTAGAGCACCGCCAGTCCCAGTTTTCTGCAGTCCGTAGTCTTGGAGAGTCACAAATCCGGGTCACGGCACCAAAGATGTAACCCACCGCCTCCACAGGCCCGTCGCCAAACTCCCTCTGCACCTCTCCTCGGGCTCTGCGTAGTGATTTTGTTGTTCAGTATGGCGCTGGAGTGCCGTGCTTGCAGGGAGAAAGGAAGCACCAAAAGCGCGGTTCTGGATTGTGGTCGACCTGGACCACAGTTTTATTCCTCAAAACAAACATTCAGGGCAATCCCTGCTGCGAGCATATCGTCCTCCAACTTGCAGCGCGACAGGCTGTAAACCACCTCAACATGGTGTCGCAAAATCCACCCACAAAAGCCCAAAAACTACAACGTCTTGCCAGGGACAAAACAAAGAGAAATGCTTCATATTTGTTTGGTTTTTCTTTTTCCCCTGTAAAGTGTGACAGTGCCTTCTACTGCCTTAACTAGGTATCTGCCTTACATATATACACACACACACACACACACACACATATATATGTGTGTGTGTGTGTGTGTGTGTGTGTATGTATATATATATATACACGTATATATACAGTATATACATTCTCATTTATACATATATAACTTCTTGTGTGTTCTATTCCTTATTCCTATTTATCTTTATTTATCTTGTTACTATTGTTTCGGTATGGAACAAGTACACAACGCATTTCCCTGTGCGTTATACTATGTGTAACTATGTTTGTGACCAATAAAAGACCTTGAACCTTGAGCCTTGAAATAATGGATGGATGGATGTCAGCGGAGGAATTAAAATACCAACAAATAAAAAAAAGTCTAGTTCTCCTGTTGTGCAATGACATGACCAGAGTTTGTTTTCTGTGTCTAGGGATTAAAAAAAAAAAAAAAAAAAGTAAAGCATTTTGACCACAAAACAAAATGTCTTTCTTTTTCTTCTTCTTCTTCTTCTTCTTCTTCTTCTTCTTCTTCTTCTTCTTTTTACACATACAGTAAGCATCAGTACATTTTGTAAATCATTCCAGTGCCTTGGCCGCCAGCTTGAAACATTTTTTTTAAACATTAACCTCCTTATCCTTAACAACTGTAGAGTCATATTTACCAGGTGTCCTATTTTACTTAACCTAGTCCTTTTACAAGAGTGGAGCCACAAGGAGAAGGACCCATCATAGCAAACTGTAAGTGACCTTACTGTGTTAAGCACTGTTGGATGACATATGTTGTGAATTTGCACTATATTAATAAAATTGAATTGAAATTGAATTAAATAGTCTAGCTTAGTGGAGACAATATCCAACAAATGTTGAATTGATCCAGTGATGTGGGCTGGCCTGACGTGCAGTAGTGTACACCTGAGCCTGAGGTTGTCTTCACTGAAGGAACCAGAATGCTACATTACATCAGGACTTCTGCGACAAAATGCCTCATTCACCGATACGTCCTTCATTAATAGTCTAAAGACAGAACGTCATTATTTAATTTCATCCTGTATATAGAGTTCATTTCGTTTTGCTTGTTTATTGTATATAGTGTTTACAAAGTTTTTTACAAAGTTTTTATTGTTCCAAGTTCTTCTATTTTTGCACTGAAAGGACTGCACCTTCGTTTCGTTGTACTTGTTAAAATGACAATAAACAAATCTGAATCTGAATCTGAATCTCCCTCGTCTTTTTTTTAACGCCTATACCACATGCCGTCCAATAGGGGGCGGTCAATCTGCTGGTTGACCAACAACCTGTGAGGCCGAAGAAGACGTAGTGTTTACGGGAAGATGAGTGAAGCTGCTTTCTGTACTGTGTCAGATAGAGACACTCAGTCTAAGTTTATTTGCTGTACCCGCAGAAAAAACGGAGTATTTACTATCTGGTGAGTGAACGGCGGCTAACAGTTTGTCCTCATGAACCCGGTGGTGGAGAGCTCTGTGGAGGTTCAAGAGTCCGGAAGGTGTCTGAACCTGCTGGATGTGCTCATGCTGTGGAGCTACCCTAGTCAGGAGCAGGTTATGTTCAGAGTTTCGGATTTAAATCGGCTGGAAAGATCGTCTTCTTTTAACCAGATCGTTTCCTCACTATTATTTATGAGCGATACGGATTCTCAGCTGTGAAATGTGTTCTATATGCAAACAGGCTGAGTTGTGCGTTACTAGTATCACTGAATAAAGCCTTGTAGCTACAGCATCACACACAGTATGCATCGTGTTGCCAACAAACCCGACAAGTTTAACCCTAGCTTTCTGCCAAGTCACTTTATACTGCAGTTAGTAAAACACAGATTAGAAAATGGATTATTCTACTGGTATTTATTACAGAGGATGTTCAGAAAATACCATCAATTTCACTTTGATTTGGCCAACAATTACAGTAATAGTCTGCGTTATGGGACAGTGTCAGACCTTAACGCACTTCAATACAAGATCAGGTTTATATATATGAAGTTTAATGTGCAGTTGTCAGTTGGAAATGAACAGAGTCTGAAGCAGAAAGCCTGAGTTGACAAAGAAAGTTGAAAACACCTTCATGATTCTTGTGATCTCTGGCTGGGGTTTTAGTCAACTAACACAAACAAAGTGTGGCTGTGTTAAACGTGTGTCGTAGTACAGCCCTCTGGTGTCTTTTATTTGGTTTCTGATTGTAAGAACTACTATATGTAGAGTGAATTGTTAGTATAGCTTTAGTACTACGTCTCACCCAGCGTTCTCCTGGCAGCGGTGGATGTACACAGTTAGGAGAATGACAGTGTAAAAGGCAGCCAACAGTTGTATGTATGTGTGTGGTAGTCTGTCCACGCTGAGACACTCACTGTTGGATCATCGTGCTTTTTTTTTTCATCTGCTGCAGTCTGACGGATGCTGCTGCTGTTTGGAGAACAGAGTACACTGAGGACACACTGAAGCACTTTGTAAGTTTTCCTGATTTTCTCTGAGTACCAGTGAAATGATGCTGCTGCTGTTCTAACCATACCTGTTTGTTTAGAGACAGAGATTTGCCTTGAAATCGGCAGAGGATTATATTCTTAAACTCAGGTGAGAACAAACCACTTTGTATAACATAGATTATTTTTTTGATCGTCCTTCATTATGCAATTCATTGAGTAACAGTGATCATGAAGCCATTGTGAGGTACCAGAGACCAAGTCTTCCTCTGTGTTTCTCTCAGGTCATACTGCAGCTGTGGCGCTGTGTCTGTTGTGGTGCATGACACCAGTGCAGAGCTCCATGTGGGCTCCAGTCCAGGTGATCTGAGTGTGACCCTCTCCAGGCTTGAAGGCTCACAGGCCACAGAGGAGCTAAGGGATCTGCTGTTCCACATGGCTGACATCCTCACACAGCTTGACCGTGAATATGCTCTGTTGATGTCACTCAGATTTTATGCAAAGATAAAATTCACTCGCTTCAGAGTCAATGCTGACTGTGTTTTCTCATCCCCTCAGGTGGACCTCCCTCTGTCAGTCCACTAAAAAATCAACAAAGGGGGCCTGCAGGTATGTTTCTGAAGCTGTGCACCAAAGCCTCACACAGTTGCAATCAGAAATGTTCAGCCCAAAAAAAAAACAAAAAAAAAAAAGAAATGTTCAGCCCCCTCACCTCAAGACATTATAGTGATGTGGATGAACGATAATGACAATAAACGACCAAAAAAGAATCATAAAACAGCAAAAACATTTATTGATACATATTTGAGTTATTTTGACAACAGAAGTTGACTTACCTTTGAAGTTCAAATGAAAACTCTTAATATGTGTATGTGCAGTATTATTTAACCCCCAGCTTAAGTACTTTGTGAAGCATGCTTTAGCTTTTATAACTTCTAACAAACATTTTTGGTAAGTGGTGACAAGCGTCTTACACCACTTGATTGGAATCTTTGCCCATTCTTCACATGCAGAAGCCTCTAGCTCAGTGATGATTGATGGCTTCCGTGCTGCAACTGACTTCTTTAAATCCCACCAAAGATTTGCAATCAGATTTAAATCTGGTGACTGAGAAGGCCACTCCAGGATCTATTTCTCAACCAAGCTCTGGTTGATTTGGAGGTGTGCTTGGGATGATACTTACTGGAAAGTCCAATGATAACCAAGGTTTAATTTGTCAACAGAAGGCATCACTCTCCTCTTTAAAATGGCCTGGTATTTCTGGGAATCCATGATGCCAGGTACACCATCAAGATTGCCAATTATTGCCGCAGAAAAACAGCCCCACGTCATCAGTGACCCACCTCCATGCTTGACTGTGGGGATGGTATTCTTCTGGTTGTAAGCCTGGCCTTTTGCACACCAGACAAACCGCTACTGCATAAGTCCAAACAGTTCCAGTTTGGTTTTATCAGTCCATTAAAGTGTCTCCCAAAGCTCTGTAGTCTTATCTAAATTTCTCCTGGCATATTCTAGTTGACTTTTAATGTTCCTTGTGGTCAAGAGTGCAGTGCATCTTGGAGTCCAGCCATGAAGTCCTTGTGTCAGGAAAATTCTTCAGTGGAGACCTACCTGCTCCAAATCAATACGCAGAGTCGTCTCTCAAGTCAAAACAAAGTTTTACTTGCAGCAAGGAGCCAGCGTGTACAGTACAGGGTCTGAACAAGTGACCGACTAAAAACATGAAGCATTGGTTCTTACATACAGACAGTGAAGAGAAAACAGAAAACAACCTCCTGCAAAAGGGTGAGAATAGGCACAGTTCTCATGGTGTTTTGAGTTCTCGCTAGAAACAACTTGTCCTTTTCTCACACTCACAAGGTTCAATAGAGGCAATGGACATTTATAGCACTCTCATACTTTTCACAAAGATCATTGGATCATAACATAGAATTATTCTAACACCTTGTTTATTCAGTGCACGTCTTATAGCTGCCATGGGAAGCACTTGTACCAGCCTTCATCACAGGGCGAGAATTAGTGGGTCAGTGAGGTGTCTTGAGCTTAAAGCCAGAGTTTTCAGTATCACGAAGGTGGCTCTCTTTTTACCTGGCCAGATCTCCATGGTAACTGATGCTGTGGAGCTAACCTGGTCTGGAGCAGGTTATGTTCAGAGTTTCGGATTTAAGTTGACTGGAAAGAGCGTCTCCCTTTAACCAGATCATTTCCTATTATTGCAGATTCTCAGCTGAGGGAATATGTTTTGTCTGCAAACATGCTGAGTTGTGCGTTACTAATATCACTGAATGAAGCCATGTAGTTACAATATCGCACACTATCGGCGGAGACGGAGCGCTCCGACGGGGTGTAACGCACAGGCAGTATTTGGCTGTTGATGCCAGTTTAGGCTGGCGATCACAGTTCTGTTGCCACCATCGGCGGTGGCGGCGGGAGATGTGCCGGCTGGTGGCTGGTTGCGGTTGAATATATATTACATACCGCCCAACGACCGAATATTCGGATATTTGGATGTTCGGGTCCAGCCCCACTGTAAATATCACGTTGCCATAGGAACCCAACATCTCAAGTTGGCGATACAGAAATCACATAAATATGTTTTTATGTTTGGATCTGATTTGCCGTCAAGTCCGTTTAGTCTGCTGCTACTGTAGCTGATAAAACACAGATGAGAAAAAGGATTATTCTGCTGGTATTTATTACAGAGAATATTCAATCAATAACATCAATTTCACTTTGATTTGGCCAAAAATGAAAGTGATTTCCTGCATTATGGGACAGTGTTAGACCTAAATGCACTTCAATACAAGATCATGTCTAAATGTATGACGTTTAAAGTTTAACTTTAGCGTGCAGCTGTCAGTTGGAAATAAGCGGCTGCATCGGTAAAATATTATATATTAACATGTTTAACAGTTTTCTACCAGCATTTCTGTCTTGCACCATCTACAGCTTGAATTTGAACCCTGAATTTGTAGGCTATGAAAGTTTAACTTTTTGAATGGAATTATGGAAATTAAACAACTTTTCCATGATATTCTATTTTTTTGGAAAGGGTCTGTATACACACAGCATATAATTATATATATGCATGTTTGTATCTGTGTGTGTGTGAATGCATGCATGTGTGCGTGTACACTGAATATTTTCAGAATTTGAGCCCCGCCAGCAGCAGAACAGTGCTCCATCAGTGACTGTGAAGAGGAGACTTCCAGGGGCGTCACTCATCAATCCAGGAACTAAAAAGTACAGTGTGTCTCTCACAAACTTGCAACTTTACCCACATTATTCTGATCCATGTGAAAATAAACTATTCACTGTCAATCTGTTTTTTGCAGAAAGCTGCAAGCAACTGGTGTGGCCTTTGATGATGCAGATGAGGACTGATCCTTTTCCTCCTCTTTGTTCTCACATTCCTGCTGCACAACCAATGATGAGCTTTCTTTTAATCTAATATGACATTAGGATGTTGTGTATTTGTGACAATACATCTCCTAAAATAGCCTTTTTTATAGACAATTATGAAAACGTGTACATTTTAACAGGATTTTGATTTTGGGTCAGTGATAAATGCTGTACTGAAGTGAATCGGTGATGAAATAAAGACAGAGTTGCATCAAATTAGTTCTGAGCATATTTCAGATGAGTAGCTTTGTACCTGGAACATTTTTTTTTTGAGAAACAAAGGTTGTAGAAGCCCGGCCAGTCATATGATATTCATATCATATGCAGGCCACTGCAGACATTATAGTCCTTGTTTTCTAGAGGGCCCTCCTCCAACTGCTATCCAAACCATTTCACAAATCTTCAGTGTTCTCTTCATTTTCCGTTCATGCCAGTGCAGAAAGGAAGGTCGGAAATCCTCATTGTACTGATGACTGCAGAGACGCCACTGGTATGTATAGACAGTTTTAAAGTGAATTTAAAGGGTCAAATTGTAATAGGTAATTTAGTTGATTTGGTGTTGCGATGTTAGTTTCCCGATTTGGTCTATTTAATGAATAATATGAAGTATATGAAGTGTTTGCCAATCATTTGGATTTGGAATCATTAAAACGGGAAATTTAAATGATTATTAATGGATTAATTAATATGATTTTGTGTTTTTAGTTTTTTCTGGCTTAATCAACTAACAAACACTCAGCCTGATTCCTTTTTGAAAAGAATAAATAAAGATGGAAAATGAGTGGAGTTGACCAGCGTCCTCTGTTGTCTTCAATGCCGGGTTGAGTTTAGGCAGACAATTGAAGCTCAAAACCCAAATAACTCGACAGAGATTGTATTTTACGGTTCAATTTTTAAAGTAGTGGAGGAAGAATTCAGTTCTTGTGCTTGAGCAGAAGTACCAATACCACATTGTAATAATCCTCTGTTGCAGTGTAAATTCCTGCATTTAAAATGTTACGTAAGTAAAAGTAAGCATAATCTCAAAACTGTACTTAAAATCTGAATGTATTCATTGCAGAAAAATGTTTCCTGTGACTGCTATACTATTCTACACTGCTCAGAAAAATAAAGGGAACAATAAAATAACACATCCTAGAGCTCAATGAATGAAATATTCCAGTTAAGAATCTTTATTCATTACATAGTGGAATGTGTTGAGAACAAAATAACATAAAAATGATCAATGTAAATCAAAATTATCTCATGGAGGCATAGATTTGGAGTCGAATCATACTCAAAAATGGAAATTCACATTACAGGCTGATCCAACTTCAGTGGAAATTCCTCAAGACAAGTCAGAATGAGGCTCAGTAGTGTGTGTGTGGCGTCCATGTGCCACGTGTATGACCTCCCTACAACGCCTGGGCATGCTCCTGATAAGGCGGCGGATGTTATCCTAAGGGATCTCCTCCTAGACTTGGATTAAAGCATCATCAACTCCTGGACAGTCTGTGGTGAAACGTGGCGTTGTTGGATGGAACGAGACATAATGTCCCAGATGTGCTCATGGGCAGGCCAGACCATAGCATCAATGCCTCATCAGGCAGGAACTGCTGACACACTTCAGCCACATGAGGCCGAGCATTGTCATGCATCAGAAGGAATCCAGGGCCCACTGCACCAGCATATGGTCTCACAATGGGTCTGAGGATCTCATCCCGGTACCTAATGGCAGTCAGGGTACCTCTGGCTAGCACATAGAAGGCTGTGTGGCCCTCCAAAGAAATGCCTCCCCACACCATTACTGACCCACCACCAAACCGGTCGTGCTGGAGGATGTTGCAGGCAGCAGAACGTTCTCCACGGCGTCTCCAGACTCTGTCACGTCTGTTACATGTGCTCAGTGTGAACCTGCTCTCATCCATGAAGAGCAATGGCGAATCTGCCAATCTTGGTGTTCACTGTTAAATAAATGAAAAATCAGTTGCATTCATTTCTTATGGCTTTATCTGCAGCTTTCCACTGTAATTTCAAATGAAAACATTTTCCCACAGGCCAACAACAGCCAAAAAATTATTTCCTTCAAAGAAAAAACAAACATGCCCAGTGGTAGTAAGAAAAGAGCGCAAAAAGCAAACACATATTAAACCTGAGTTTGCTGTTCTCTGATGCACACCAGATGAAACCAGATACTTGAACCTGGAATTAAATAAGCTTATAAGACCATTTTTTATCTATAAACAACAAAATGAATCATTAAATGCAAGAAAAAATAAGTTGCATTTATTTCTTATGGCTCTTGATGCAGCTTTTCCAGAGTAATTTAAAGTGAAAACATTTGTCTACAGTCCAACAACAGCCAAAAAATAATTTCCATCAAAGAAAAATCAAATGCCCTGTACTCACACTGAGTGAAATCATCCTTTAAAACTACGTCACACACCCGAACTAGAAGCCGTGCACTTATACGGCCATAGAAGAAGAGTACAGCCCTCTACGTGCGGTCTCCGGCTCTGCAGACAAACCCTTCTCGACACCTGAGAGCTCAGCCTCCCACTGTGCATGTGAAGAAACCTTGAGGAGGTACGAGAAAACCTTTTGTCTCAGAGCCAAGTCGTCTCTTAGGACAATAATATGTTACAATGGGGTCCTAAAGACACAATAGAGCTTGGCCATGAAGAGCTTGGAAAGGACTCTTCCTGCTGGAACAAACACAGCCTGCATGGCCATATGGCTGCATTTACACTGTGGTGCCATCGCTGCTGGGCTTGGACTCTGGAATTGCGCCTTTCAGGCACAATGAGGCAGGGTGCTGTGTCTGGAAAAGGGGGCCCTGACTCCACCCATCTCAAGTCATACTTACCTGGCAGGGGAGATACCATGATCAAGAAGGAGGCTCACCCAGGGCGAGGCCCAGTCATTGCACTCCGGCTAGCTGACCCCTGCGAAATCTCCAAATGTGGGAATCTCGACTGCATAATTTATGGTAGTGGGGGACTGCGTTTGCACTCTCCCCTCATTCACTTGTGAAAGAAAGCGTGAGAGTGAGCCTGGCTGCTTGGTTGCGCGTGCGGGCCCAACGCTCGGCTGACCGGCAGCTGTCGCATGTTGTCAAGCGTGCACGTTTTGGGGCTGTTGTCTTTCACACTTCATCCACAAACCAGTGCAGTTCATGCATAGGAACGTCTGCTGTCCTCTGCTTTGGCATTGTGTCAAACAATGTGCCTGCCTTAGCCTCCATTGCCACAGTAAGTGGGGACTGGGCGCGGCACAGTCAGTTGTGTGCTGTTGGCTCTGAGGTTGTTCTTTGGGAAAAACCTTGCTGCTATCCATTGAGTGCACAAGCAGGATTGCTCAGTGCAAAACAGGAAGTCCCTTCTGAGTCTAAACCTATAACAGCACAGCTAAAGGATGGATCGGGTGTTGATAAGTTAATATGTTTGCAAACATGAAGGTTGAAAAAGTACAACGTTGCTGTCTTTTATGCCTTTAAAACAGCGTGACCCGTGTTGAAAAGACCACTTTGGCAATCCAGTGTCATTCTGAAGCAGAAATATGGTTGTAAACTCAAGAGTTGAAAAAGTACAACTTTACTGTTTTTCATGCCTTAAACAGCATGTCACCAGCTGAAAAGGCCACTTTTGCAATGCAGTGTGTCCTGTGAATTCCCTCACACAAAGTGACTTCAAACCCTGTTTGCCTTCATATTTATCATACTAGAAAACATTCTGAAGCAGAAATAGGTTTGTAAACCTGAAGGTACAAAAAGTACAACTTTGCTGGTTTTTATGCCTTAATATTTAAGAACTACGGAAGCTGAGAGCGGTCATGGCCGCACATTTTTTTAAATGGCATTTTCTCGAGATAACGAGATAATTATTCTGTTATCTTGGGAAAACGTAGTTATCCCTGGATACTGATACCTGTGTTTACAAAGAAACGAGTGACGCTCTGGAGTGCAGCAGTGACTTTGCCGAGAACGGACTGAAAATATCAGATGGAGGATCATCTGTCATTGATGAACGCATCAGACTTTACTTCTCTCCAGGTCTGACACAGGCTGAGCGAAGTTGGTTTTCTCGAGATAAATTATCTGGTTTTCACGAGAAAACGATTCTTGTTATCCCGAAATAACGAAAAAATTAACTCGTTATCTCGAGAAAACGGCGAAGAAAGAACAGCAGCGGAAAATGACCGCTCTCGGCTTCCGTAAAGAACGCCACAAGGACTATTTTCTTTCTTTTTTTTTTTTTTATCATTTAGTCGGCAAAATATCTATAGATGTAATATTCTTCTGTGGAAAAAGTAATCCTAGGACACAGAAGTAAGTAATTCTCCCTTTAGCAGAAATAACTTCTTGATGGTGTTTTGCATGATTGCCCATCACTCTCTTACATTGGCTTCCTGCACTGTTTGAGGACTCTTCTGTGCAAAAATCCTCAATTTGCTAGATGTTTGTGGGTTTTTTAAATCAAACTTCAGGACTATATCACAGTTAGATTTGGAAATCTATGCTTAGATTTGAATAATTTTGCCAACTGATCAAGATGTAAAGATGATTAGTTAAGAGACTGCTGGATTCTTTCTCTTTTTACAGTGTCTGGCTCCCATAAATCAAGTAATTCTGACATTTTTGTTAAAATAACATGCCAAATAACGAGCCTTTAAAACCAGCAGGCAAGTTTTGGGATTCCAAGGGTCAATAAATAATAATGATGCACATGTAAGTCTATCTGTGTTTCTTTTTTTGCTGTTCCTACCCTAAACAAACATGAGATTATTCAAGTGAAATCCCTTGAGAGGTATTAAATGCACCCGTTGTTGTGAGTAGGACAGCCTTACTGATCAGCTTTGGGTGACTTTGGAGTGTCATCAAACATTGACTGAAACTCTGGACATGTGTCTGCTGGATTTTATTGTTGCACCCTCTAGTTTCAAAATAACTACATAAAATGACCACCAGGTGACAGGATAACACAGCAGAACAAGCTTGTTTGCTCCACATGTTGAAAAGCATGAGTATCACAAACCTGACAGTTTTTACATGGGGGGCCAGACTGAGACTATTACTCACATTGGGTTGGCACACTGTCTTTCCAATGGCTTTCTTTCTTTATTTTTTTTCCAACAAATCGCCATAGGTCAAATCATTCACCAATCATTTTTGTTTTTGTCACCGACTCTTATCATAGCATCCTATGCAGAAAAAAAAGACATGTAGAAGTACACCATGAGAACTCATAAACAGTCATATACAAACACATTATACACTAAGAGGATTCCAGTAGGACACTCAACATGTAGTTGCACAATCACATCCTGATGTGATCAACAGCTTAGTCCTAGATATGTGGAGGCAGCCATGAAATAGCCTGATCCTCATCAGCCATGTCTCTGACTGACAAAGAGTGCCCCCTTGTGGCTACATGCTCTAAGAAATATGGCTTTTATTTAGCAGTAGGCTCCACCTCATCAGACACACAGGAAACGTGATTGTTTCATGCTTCCTCTGTGGTTGACTCTTCAGTTCAATGTTTGTTGCTGAATAAAGCACTATATAAGAATGAATTAAGTCCAGTAGGCATTATCCCTTTATGTTGTATTCGTCAGTACCTGTTCAGGACTGTGGATGTGAAAGGAAGCTTTCATTGTAGTAATACTACAGGTTTCATGTTTTCTACATTCTTTTTCACCCTTTGATGGGTACTCTCTCATAAAACAGTTCATGTGGGTTTTCCCTTTTGTTCTGCATGGTTTCGTGCTGCCAACTTCGTGAGAATTACCACCACCAGCCGATACT